AGCAGGAATTATATACAAGAAGAATATGGAATTCAGGTAATAGTATTCAACAGTTCCTAGATGAAAGCAGTAAAGATGGACAAAGTAGTCAATAAATTTGTTTCAAATTTGTCATGAAAGCCAACTTACATAAACAAGATAGTAAGACACTTTGTACGAATTTAAGAAACAAGGCATGTAATTCATTAATTATGAATTTATCAAACTACATCATGTCAAATAAATTGCTCAGATTTAAATCTTAGTGTTGCAATAGCACCTTGATGAGTAAGCTTTTCAAAAGGCACACAGTCCCACAGGTCACTTTGCCTAATGAATTCTAATGCAAAACTGACATGCAGCGTGCTGCGAACCGTTCAGTAACAGACCTCACAATGTAACTGCAAGTCACTCATAGGCACAGAATTTTATCAGTAACTTGGACAAAACCTTTGAAAATATAAGGGATTTGAGATGGGGTGTAGAAGCAGCTGGAAGAAAAAGAAAGTTGCTAACGCAATGAAGCAGAATTGTTTCTCACACTCAATACAGATGAAGCTTGAAAGTACTCTAAAAAAGACACTGCACATTTAGAACAGGATATATGTCACAAAAAAACAATCTTGGGAAGAAGAAACTTCAAATCATGACTGAAACGGTACAATTTTACAAAAAAAAAAGCACCAAGACTTCTGTGGGAAGCCTCACGGTGCCATCTAGAGGAGACCGGCCAGCAGTGGTTGTCAGCCTGGTTTTGACAGCCAGTTTCAATTAACAGTCAAGACAAAACGGGACTTTTACATTTCAGTACACAAAGATAGAACCAAATCCACTACCTCTGGGCCAAAATTACAAGTTCCTTAACTTTAATGAACAGATCTTTTGGATTTTATTTCTTGTCCTCTCACTTAGATAAGTCTGTAAGAGAAGAGACCTTAAAGACAGTACTGGGAAAAACAGCCCTTAGAAACCCTGCTCCAACTCTGCATCTAATTTTGTGAAAGTTCTCCTCAGATAAATGTATGTGATGACATACAAAGCATTCAATGTATTATAGCCTAAAGAAAAACAGACTTCGGTGACAAGAAGTAACAAACAAGAAAAGCTTTCTTAAAGCTTGAAAATTCAAGATTTCAGTTACCACAGACTGAAGGTTACAACTGTTGGACCTCAAATATTTCACTGTTCACTCACTTTGTCTTCTTTCTGTATTTATTTATTTGCAGCAAAATAAATGGAAATACATGGAACAAATATTGCTAAGGAAACAACAACCTTGTAAGCTTTAATGTAACTCAGGCTCTGCTTAAACT